GAAAGAAAGAGGGAGAGAGAGAGAGAAACATCAGTTAGAGAGAACATCAATTGGTGGCCTCCTGCATGCCCCACACTGGGGACTTGGCCCATAACCTGGGCATGTGCCCTGACCGGGAATTGAACCGGTGACCTCTTGGTGCATTGGTCAACGCTCAGCCACTGAGCCACACTGGCTGGACTGATTTGCTAATACATTTTTTGAGGATTTTGGCATCTATGATCATCAGAGATATTTGCCTGTAGTTTTCTTTCTATGTAGTGTCTTAATCTGGTTTTGGAATTAGAATTATGCTGACCTCATAAAATGAGTTTGAAAATCTTTCTTCTTCTTGAATTTTTTGGAATAGTTTGAGGAGAATGGGTGTTAGTTATTCTTTGAATGTTCGGTAAAACTCCCTCGTGAAGCTATCTGGGCCCAGGCTTTTGTTTGCTGGGAGATTCTTGGTTATATTTTCAATTTCCTTAGTTCTTATTGTTCTGTTCAAATTTTCTATCTATTCCCGATTCAGTTTTGGGAGACTATGTGTTTCTAGAAATTTGTCCATTTCACCTAGATTGTTCAATTTCTTGGCGTAAATTTGTTCTTAATATTGTTAAAGATCCCTTGTATTTCTGTGGTGTCAGTTGTTATTTCTCCTCTTTCATTTCTGATTTTGTTTATTTGAGTCCTCTTTCTTTGTTTCTTGGTGAGTCTAGCTAAGAGTCTATCAATCTTATTTATATTTTCAAAGAACCAGCTCTTTGTTTCATTGATCTTTTTTTTTTTTTATCCTCACCCGAGGACATTTTTTCCATTTTTTGTTCAGATAGAGTGGAGGGAGAGAGAGGAAGAGAGAAACATTGACATGAAGGGGACACATTGAGTGGCTGCCACCCGCATGACCCAACCAGGGCCAGGGCCAAACTGCAACCGAGGTACGTGCCCCTAGTGGGAACCGAACCCGGGTCTTTCTGGACTGCAGGCTCATTGATCTTTTTAATTGTTTTTTTAGTCTCTATGTTGATATTTCTTCTTTGATCTTTACTATTTCTTTCCTTCTACTTGCTCTGGGGTTTTCTTTTTGTTCTTTAGATAGTCAATTAGAAATTTTTCTTGTTTCTTGAGGTAGGCCTGTAGTGCTATGAACTCAGGATGGTTTTCACTGTATCCCATAGACCTTGTGTTGTTGTGTGTTCATTTTCATTGGTTTCCAGGAAGTTTTCATTTCCTCCTTGATCTCCTTGGTAACCCATTCATTGTTTATTAACATGCTATTTAGCCTCCACGTGTTTAAATGTTTTTGTTGTAATTGATTTCTAGTTTCATGTCATTGTGATCTGAGAAGATACTTAATATCATTTTAATCTTCTTGAACTTGGAGAGACTTAGTTTGTGTCCTAAGATGTGGTCTATCTTTGAGAATGTCCCCTGTGTACATGAGAAGAATGTGAATTCTGTAGTTTTGGGGTGTAATTCTCTGTAGATACCTATTAAATCTATTTTATCTAGTGCATTATTTAGAGTTTCTGTTTCCTTGCTAATTTTTTTGTCTAAAGGATCTATCCAGTAATGTCAGTGGGGTGTTGAAGTCCCCTGCTATGATTGTATTGCTGTTGATTTCTTCTTTGAAGTCCTCCAGAAGTTTTTAAATGTATTTTGGTGCTCTTATATTGTGTGCATATATATTTACCAAGGTTATATCTTCCTGTTGGATAGATCCTTTCAATATTATGTAGTGACCTTCTTTATCTCTAGTATGGCCTTCAGTTTGAGTCTATTTTATCGGATATGTGTATTGCTACCCCAGCTTTTTTTTCCTTTCCATTTGCTTGGAAGATTTTTTTCTATCCCTTCACTTTCAACCTATGTGAGTCTTTTGTTGTGAGGTGGGTCTTTTATAAACAACATATATATGGGTCATGCTTTCTTATCCAGTCAGCTACTCTGTCTTTTGATCGGAATGTTTAATCCATTTACATTTAAGGTTATTATTGATGTGTACTTATTTTTTTTATTTTTTATTTTTTTATCCTCACCCAAGGGCACTCCTGCATTAATCTTCAGACAGAGCAGGAGATGAGAGAGGGAGGAAGAGAGAGAGAGAGAAGCATCAATGCAAGAGAGACACATCGAGTGGTCACCACCCACACGACCCCAACCGGGGCCAGGGCAAACTGCAACCGAGTACATGCCCCCAGCGGGAACCGAACCTGGAACTCTCTGGTCCCTGGGCCAATGCTCTAACCACTGAGCAAACCGGCCAGGGCTGATATGTACTTATTTATTGCCATTTTAATTTATTGTGGTTATATTTTTCTTCCTATTTCATCTACTAATTATAGCAGTCCTTTTTACATTTCTTGCAGTGTGGGTTTGGTGCTAATATATTCCCTTAGCCTTTTTTTTTGGTCTGGGAAGCTCTTTATTTTACCTTCTATCTTGAATGATAGCCTTGCTGGAGAGTAGTCTTGGATTCTGATAATTGTTTTCATGACCTTAATTACTTCATGCCATTCCCTTCTGGCCTGTAGTGTTTCTGTTGAGAAGTCAGCTGAGAGCCTTATGGGGGTTCCTTTGGAGGTAACCTGTTGCTTATCCCTTGCTGCCTTTAGGATTCTCTCTTTGTCTTTAATTTTTGGCATTTTAATTATTATGTGTCTTGGTGTGGGCCTACTTGGGGCCCTCTGTGCTTCTTATACTTGTATGCCTTTTTCCTTCACCAAGTTAGGGTTTTCTGTCACTATTTCTTCAAATATATTCTCTAACCCTTGCTCATTTTCTTCTTCTGGAACTTCTATGATGCACATGTTGTTACATTTCACATTGTCCCACAGTTCTCTTAAGCTGTCTACCTGTTTTTTAATTGTTTTTTCTTTTTGGTTCTCTCATAGGGTGATTTTTTTTCTACTGTTTTCTAATGCACTATCCCAGTCCTTGGCTTCCTCTACTGTAGTGGTTCTTTATTTCTGCTATGTCATCCTTCATTTCTGTTTGGTGGTTTTTCATTTCCAATTGATTGATTTTCAATGTTTCTATATCTTTACTTATGCTATTGAGTTCTTTACTCATACTGTTGAGCTTCCTCATGATCATCACTCTGTACTCTACCTCTGTTAACTTGCTTAACTGCATTTCATTTGTCTCTTCTTCAGTAGAGTTCTCTTGTTCTTTCATTTGGGATTTGTTTCTTTGTTTCACCATTTTGGCTGTCTCAGTAGGTTTTGGAGCCTGTCGAATTTTCCCTGTGGGTGTTGGTATTCCACTCGTTGTGGCTTTCTCTACTGGGTTTGGATGAGTGGGGGGAGGAGACCCATGTTAGACACCACTGTCAAGTCTTACTTTCCTGGGTAGATTTTTTTTTTTTTATCCTCACCCAAGGACATTTTTCCATTTTTTGTACAGATAGAGTGGGAGGAAGAGAGAGGAAGAGATAGAGAGAGAGAAACATCAATGTGAAAGGGACACATTGAGTGGCTGCCACCGCACGACCAACCAGGGCCGGGGACAAACTGCAACTGAAGTACATGCCCTTAGCGGGAACCGAACCCGGGTCTCTCCGGACCGCAGGCCGACGCTCTAACCGCTGAGCCAAACCGGCCAGCGCTTTCCTGGGTAGATTTGCAAGCCCAGGAAAGGTTCAGTTATCCTCTAGTTTTTTGCCTGGAGTCTATTAGTCTCAGTTACTTTATGAGCTATGCGTTGAAGGCCTTAACTGAATGAAAAAATCCCTCAGGTGTTCACGATAAGAATATTTCCAAGAGGGGGGGAGGGCAAATGCTTGCTGGCTGTTAATGAGCCTCAATTTGCATTTCTCTGGCCTGGCAGGGTGCTATTAAATTCTTGAGGGAAGGGCTGTTGCTTCTCCCCAGGGCTCTAGGAAAGGGCGCGTTGAGTAAGATAACTACTGTCCTCTGAGGGAGTGTTCAGCACAAAACTCCCACTGCCTTCCCAGCTTTCCAAGCTCCCGAGTCTCCACACAGTTCCAGTCTTGTCTGCCCTCCCTCTGCTGGAGCCAAGGTGAGTGGCTGTAGCTAATTTAGTGCTCTGTCCTGGCCCTCTGTGCTGTGGAGCCAGCTTGGGATTTTAACCCCAAGGGAACTGCTCACAGCTAAAACAGATGCTGTCTGTGGACTCCCAGCCCACCCTCTTGCACCTCCGCAGTTCCTACCAGGCTCAATTTAGTGTCCTCTTTATGTCCTTGGTTATACAAGTCCTCTCCTGCTGTTTTTCTGTTATTTTTTTTACCGACAATTAGTATTATTTTAGTTGTAATTCCAGTTTGATACTGGGAGATGGTCTATTAGCTTCCATTCACTCAGTTGCGTCCTTTTTAAAATCTGTCTTTCATCAGATCAAAATTCCATACAGATTTAAATTGCTGAGAGGGGTTTTCAAAAAAATGTAGCATGAATGTTAAATGTTATTACCTGCCTATTCTGCTTTTTTGAGATGATCATATGTTTCTCCTTGATTCGGTTAATGTGACATGATATTGATTGGTTTTTAAACTATAAATCAATGATGCATGCCCAGTATAAAACCAAGTAAGTAATAAGACAAAGTGTGAAAGAGCTAGCCATGATAAACCTTGGGGAGAAAGGGAGAAATCTATTCTTACATGAACTCTCCCAAGAAATAGAAATGTTCCCTAGCTCATTTTACATGAATACCAAAACTTGTAAGGATGGTAAAATGTTTTTTAAATAAATTTATGCAAAATATTATTGAAACAAAATATTAACAAACTGAATTTAGCAGTATATAGAAAGTAATACATCTTACATGGCTGGCTATCGTAAGCATCCCTCCACCCCCATTTTTTCTATCTTGATCCTCTGTTTGCTTGAAATGACTTCTTTTAATATGTAATTACATAATTTGTTTGTTCACTTCCTTGGTCTATCTGCCCCTAGAAATTTTTCAGAATGACATTTCAGTGAAGGAAATCACTTAAATGTGTTGTTTATATGTGGACGCTTTGGGTAAATTACTTTTCTATTTTTCTTTGGGAAATTAAGAAAATACATGGCGGCTATCCTTCTCTCACATTGAAAAGAACATTTTGCAAAATCATGGAAAAGCTAAAACGTGCTGTGAATGTGATGGGGTGAAATGTTGCAGGTAACTTCCTTATTTTGTTGAATGGGGGCTTGTTTATGGAATGTTTATTTTTTAATTGACTCCACAGCTCATACCTAAGTATGAGCATTGCTGGGTTGAGTCCTGGGGTCTACACATGGCTGGACTGACCTGAAATATTATCTCCAGGGTGAGCATGAAACCAGGGAAGCCAGATCCAAGGATCCAGGAAAGAGTGTTAGAAGGCAAGGCCAGAGGTTATAGTCCTGAACCTGGATCAGAGGGATGAATAAGAGGGTATAAACACGAGCCACCATTAGCCGTAACAGTTGTCCTGTCTTAGTATTCTGGTTGCTTCAAGGTAATGAATATTAATGTCACATAATGAGAGGGTGCCAGAGGACCACTCTTTTGGATACTGGTGCTTGCTTTGGATGGTTTGGCTGCGTTGAAGGCCAGGAACTGACTGGCTAAATTTGAAACAAAACTAAAAGATGGGTAATTATTATTATTATTTTTTTTGGTAGCATACCCACCATAGAAAATGAGACTGAAAAGGAATTCTTCATTTGAGTTTCTACAGTTGCCTAGTGTAAGGTTCACAAAAGTTAAAAGCAAAACCAGAATGTCCAGCATGGAGGCCCAGGAGGTTCTTCAAAGCTCCACGTACAGACTTTGAAGCCAGTGTTAAGAAAACATATTTCTGATAAGGCTAAATATTTTTAAAAACAGTACATTTTGTCAACTATGAAATAACTGGATGAATAATGTAATATTTGTAGCCTAACAACACAAAAATCATTGCATGAATAAATAATATGATTATCTGCCAGTTTCATAGTTGAACTAATCCTGATAGAATAAAATATTGAATCTAGGAATGGGGAAGAGGGCAGGAAAAATATGTTTTTGAAACGTCAAAGTATATATTTGAAAAAATCAGGTTTTATAGTGACTATAATTATATTTATACATGTTTATTTTTGTGTGTGTCTATCTGTGCTATATCTGTGTTGTTTATTGCATCTTCCTGTAAGATGCCTATAGCTCTTTGTGGAATGAAGCAAGTTGTAAATAAGTAAAAATAATGATTTCTTTTTTATATCTAACAGGAAAGATTGTTTAAAACTAATGAAGTATCTTTTAGAGCAATTGAAAGAGAAGTTTGGAAATCAAAAGGAACTGAGTAAATTCTTTTCTTACCAATTGAAAACTGCCTTCTTTCACCTGTGTGCTGAGAACCCCCAAGACAGTGAGTGGCAATCCAAAGACCTGGAGCTCTGCTTTGACAGATGTGTGCAATACTTTCTTCAGTGCCTCGAGAAAGAATATCTTGAGCATTTCTTTATTCCTGGATTCAATTTCTTCTCTCGAGACAAAATTAATAGAAAAAGTAAAGAATTTATGTTTAAAAAAATTGAATATGAAAGAAGCAATGGATATCCAATTTTTGTTGAATTTTGAAATTATATATTTTTTTATTTATTTTTGTTGTTGAAGGTGTTACAGATGTCCCCCATTTTCTCTCCCTTTGCTCCTTTCTATCCAGCTTCTGCCTAACCCCAGGTCTTCACTACACTATTGTCTGTGTTCATGGGCTATGCATATATGCATATAAGTTCTTTGGTTACTTAATTCTTGTCCCTCCCTTCCCTCTGAGATCTGTTAATCTGTTCCATGCTTCCATGTTTCTGGACCTATTTTCTCATCAGTTTTTTTTTAGATTCTACATGTAAATGAGATCATGTGATATTTTCAAAAAGAGTCAAAAATTATAATGACTATAATAATTGGAGTGTTTGAGATTTCTCACAGCAATGATTGATGAATAAACAATTATTCTGCTCTGTCTTATAAATTCTAATTGGTATAAAAGGATTTTGGCAAAGGGATTAGTCAAGGAATACACATTAAAAGCAGTATTTAAAATCTAAAAGCTTTACCACATTGGAATGAAAAGAACAAAATACATAAAGCTATCACCTTAATTCATCAAGTGCATATTGAACACTGCCTTTCACCAAGCACAAATGTGGAAGGTTGCAACAGCAATGTTGGAAATGACCATTGCCTCCATAAAACTGGTGGGCTTTGTTCAACATACAAATATATTTGAAGCCATGTCCCATCCTACATGTTAGGATGGCATGGCCCTGGCCCATTTGGCTCAGTGGTAGAGCATCAGCTGGCAGACCAAGTAGTCACGGGTTCAAATCCAGTCAAGGGCATGTACCTGGGTTGTAGTTCCATCCCCAGCCCTGGTCAGGGTCATGTGGAAGACAACCAATCGATGTGTCTCTCTCACTTTGATGTTTCTCTCTCTCTCTCTATCTCTCCCTCCCACTCTGTCTGGAAATAAATGGAAAAATATCCTAGGGTGATGATTACAAAAAAAATAATAAAATAAAATAAATGTTAGGATGGGTAAGAAGGAAATGAAAAATAAATTCTACATTGTCTTTTTTTTTTTTTTTATCCTCACCCGAGGACATTTTTCCATTTTTTGTCAGGTAGAGTGGGAGGGAGAGAGAGGAACAGAGAGAGAGAGAAACATCGATGTGAAAGGAACACATCGAGTGGCTGCCATCCACACAACCGACCAGGGCCGGGGACAAACTGCAACCGAGGTACATGCCCTTAGCGGGAACCGAACCCGGGTCTCTCAGGACCGCAGGCCGACGCTCTAACCGCTGAGCCAAACCGGCCAGGGCTACATTGTCTTTACTTGTCTCAGGAAATTCAAAATTTTATAGGAAAATATTGGGTAAGTTAATACACATGGATAAATATAAAATGTAACATTTTTTAGTAGTACTTTTATACATATTTCTGAAATGGCAATACATACACATGGTTCAAAACTCAAAGAAACAGGTGTGTAATACAGTGTCACCCTGTCTCCTCTGTGCTCAGGCAGCATTTACCAAGTGGCAGCTGCTGTTTGTTCACTTTCTTCTATTCCTATATTTTGGACATTTTCTTTTTGGCTATTTTATTGTTTTCTGGAAGTTTTAAAATGTATTTTAGATTCAGTCATGTGCCACATCATGAAAGATCACATATATGATGGTGGTACATAAGATAGTAATGAGGGGCAGGAGCCCCTGACTGCCTCCATGCTGGCCGCAGCACCCCCCCCCCCCCCCAGGAACAGAAGCAGGTGCTGGGAGAAAGTTTGTTCCCACTCCTCCAAACCGTGCATTCAAACCTGGCTGGGAAGATATGGGAATGCTCCTAGAGATCAACAGCTTCCAGCTGCTGCACATGCTGGAATCCCCCAAGTCTCTCCGCTCCAAGGTGGATGAAGCTGTGGCAATTCTACAGGCTCATCATGCCAAGAAAGAAGCTGACCAGAGGGTGGGCGCTGTTGCTGCTGCTACCTCTTAGACAAGGAAAAACCAATTCAAAAGCCAAATAACCCCCTCATGGAATTCACCTCAAGGTTTGAAGACTCCCTAGCTTGTCCTATGGACCTCAACATCAAACACCACAAATTGCAAATTTAATAGGTCATTTTGTATCAAAAGGTCAACTACGAAGCAACTAGAATTTTTCAATTAAAAGAATATATTCTCTGGGTTCAAAAAAAAAAAAAAGATAATAATGGAGCTGAAAAATTCCTATCAACCAGAGACGTAGCCATGGTAACATCATAGCCCAAACAGTCCTCACTTGTTTATAGTGATGTTCGTGTAAACAAACCTGAGTTGAATAACATACAGTATGTACAGTACATAATACTTGATAATAAATGACTATGTTACTGGTTTACAGATTTACTATACTATACTTTTTATCATTATTTTAGAGTGTACTAGTTCTACTTATAAAAAGTAGTTTGTGCCAAGGCCAGTGTGGCTCAGTTGGTTGGGCATCACCTCTTACACCCAAAGGTTGCCGATCTGATTCCCATCTCAGGGCATATGCCCAGGTTGCAGGCTTGATCCCCAGTAGGGGGCGTGCGGGAGGCAGCTAACTGATGTTTGGCTCTCACATTGGTGTCTCTCCCTCTCACTTTCTCTCTCTCTCTCTCTAAAAATCAATAAAAATATTTTTAAAAAATAGTTTGCTATGAAACAGTATGCCCTGTTCCATTGGCAGCAGCTTCATCTCATGTTTACCATGTCCCTTGACTGCATCATTTCCTCCTGTGCTTGATTTAATCTCATTTAATAAATTTAGTGTAGCCTTAGTGTATAATGTTTATAAAGTCTACAAAAAAATCTAAGCTACTTCAGATAAAACGGATGTGTGCAAAAAAAAGTCATCAGTCTCATTTGAGAATATTGGTCAGCTGTACCTATTTATGAAGTCAAGTAACATAACCATTGGCTAGTCATCTCAATCAAGATGATGATGAATTCTCTGGGGAGGAGAGGGAACAGGCTGAGTGCTTGAGTGGTGATAGTGGTGGTAGAGTGGGTTGGATTGTATTTGTTCCTATCATGCACAACAAGTTACCACAAACTCAGTGACTTAACACAGTTATTATCTCAGTTTCAGTGGGTCAAGATTCTGCACAGGGTCTCACAAGGCTACAATCAAGGTGTCAGCTGGGGCTGCAGTGTCACCTGAGGTGTGACTGGAAAAGGATCCACTTTTGCTGGCAGTATTCAGTACCTCAGAGGTGTAAGACGAGGACTTAGCTTCTTTCTGACTATTGACTGGAGGTTGTCCTCAGCTGCTAGAAACTGCCTTCGGTTCCTTGCATGTGACCGCCCCACACTGGCAGCCCCCACACGCGGCTGCTCACTTCAAAATCAGCATGGGAGGGAGAGATCCCAACAAGAGGGGCTCTACATTTTCTTTAACATGATTACATACATGTAATCATACATCCCATCGCCTTTACCATATTTAATGGGTCTGAAGCAAGTCACAGGTTTCACCCATACTAAAGGGGATGGGAATCACTCAAGGATGTTGTGTCAGTTTATCCAAAACAGTCCCCACAAAAACACCCTCACTCTTGACAATTGCAGTTTCAGGAGATTCCCCAACTCACTCCCAGGTTTGATAATTCACTCGAAAGACAGAACATGCTGAAACCTTTAACTCGTGGTTAGCTTATTACAGGGTAAGGATACAGGTTAAAATTAGCAGAGGGAAAAAGGCCTAGAGCAGAGGTCAGGAGGGTACCAAACACAGGGCTTCTATTCTTCTGTGGAGTCATGGATGCATTATTCTCTTGGCATTGATGGAAAATAATACACATGGACGCTTGCCAACCAGGGAAGCTGCCTAAGCCTCAGTACACAGTTTTTATTACATGTCCGTGGTTATTTGCCTGGATGTCTAACTTCAGTTTCCAATCCCTCTAGAAGTTAAGTGGTATGACTCAAACACCACCACCAATCACATTATTAGATATTTCTTGTATGTTCTTAGTGCTTAGTGCTTATATCCCAGAAGCCAACAGCAAAGGCAAGAACCCCTCTTTGAATTAGGTTAAATTATTTGCTACCTATCTGGATATGAACCCCAGGAGCAGGGCATTATGGAACCACTCTAAGAGTCTGACCATCACAGGTATGAAAGAGTTTGATTATTTATCTTATGGTGAGAAGTTAGTAGAACTACCAAATTGAAAAACTAAGACCATGGCAAATAAGAATGTTATTTAGGGACTTCCGGTCAAGATGGCGGCGTAGGTAAATGCAGTATCGCGTCCTCCCACAACCACATCAAAGTTACAACTAAACTACAGAACAACCATCATTCAAAACCACCTGAAATCAAGCTGAATGGAAGTCCTACAACTACGGAATTAAAGCAGCAGCCACATCCAGACTGGTAGGAGGGGCGGTGGCGCGACCGGCTGGTCCCACCCCCACGTGTGGCGGATAAAAATCAGGAGGCTCCCGCGGCTGGGAAGGTCCTTCCTGAGGACTGAGGGGACCCCGTCCCACACCAGGTGCCCCGCTCAGGGTTCCAGTGCCAGGAAGAGAAGTTCCCATAACTTCTGGCTGGAAAAACCAGCGGGAACTGAGGCTCAGGGAAGCTGAGGCGGCTGGAGCCCCAGGCAGCTCCCTAAAGGGCCCGCGCAGGAACTTATCGGACTCTCTCCCTCTAAGCTCGGAGGGGAGGCAGCTCGAGGGGCGCCAGAGACATACAGAGAAGAACTGAGCTGTTTGGCACTGGAGCGAGTGCTGGAGAGGGGGATTTCTCGGGGACAAACATGCTGTCAGAGGCCTTTGTTCCTTTGGTGAGCCCTTCCCGCGGGCGGCAGACAGAAGCCACATCTGGATCTCCAGCAACCTGGCTCACACTGGTAGCCCCGCCCTGCTGACTCCCTGAGGCCCCGCCCCGCCCCACACAACTTTCAAGCCCACCCAAGCTGTTGCCACTTGCTTAACCATAGGATTGGCCAGTCTTGCATCCTGCTTCAGGTTTTTCCTAAATTCTTTCAAACGAGCAGCATCGGGTCTCAGCTAGCCTCATACCGCTCCTTAAGTAATACACTGAAACAAACACAGGGAGGCAGCCAAAATGAGGAGACAAATAAACAGGTCCCAAATGAAAGAACAGAACAAAACCCCAATAAAAGAACTAAGCGAAAGGGAGATAAGCAACCTAACAGATACTGAGTTCAAAATACTGCTTATAAGGATGCTCAATGAACTTAGTGAGAACCTCAGTGAACTTAGGGAGGACCTCAAGAGCATAAAAAAGGACCAGTTAGAAATTGTGGATACACCGTTAGAATTGAAGGAGGCATTAACTGAAATAAAGAATAATTTACACAGCTTCAATAATAGAGTATGTAAATCCAAGGAGCAAACCATCGATTTGGAATATAAGGAAGCAAAAAATGCCCAATCAGAACAGCAAAAAGAAAAAAGAATCCAAAAAAATGAGGATAGTGTAAGGAGCCTCTGGGACAACTTCAAGCGTGCCAACATTCGCATCTTGGGGGTGCCGGAAGGAGAAGAGCGAGAACAAGAAATCGAAAACCTGTTTGAAACAATAATGGCAGAAAACTTTCCTAACTTGGTGAAGGAAACAGACATACAAGTCCAGGAAGCACAGAGAGTCCCAAACAAGATGAACCCCAAGAGGCCCACACCAAGACACATCATCATCAAAATGCAAAAGGTTCAAGACAAAGAGAGAATCTTAAAAGCAGCAAGAGAAAAGCAATTAGTTACCTACAAGGGAGTTCCCATTAGGTTGTCAGCTGATTTCTCAAAAGAAACTTTGCAGGCCAGAATGGAGTGGCAAGAAATATTCAGAGTGATGAAAACCAAGAACCTACAACCAAAATTACTCTATCCTGCAGAGCTGTCATTTAGAATCGATGGACATATAAAAACTTTCCCAGACAAGAAAAAGTTAAAGGAGTTCATCACTACCAAACCGTTATTATATGAAATGATGAAGGGTCTTTTTGAAGAAAAAGATAAAAAATATGAACAAACAAAATGGCAATGAATACATATTTATCAACAATGGAATCTACAAACAAAATGAACAGGTAGAACAGAAACATTCTCATAGATACAGAGAACATTTTGTTGGTTGCCAGTTGGGAGGGGGGTTGGGGGAATGGGTGAAAAAGGTGAAGGGATTAAGAAGCACAAATTCATTGCTAGACTGACAAACCTCAAAGGGAAAGGGTTGGGGGTGGGGGGTGGGAAGAAATAAACCAAAGAACTTATATGCATAACCAATGGACACAGACAATAGTGTGGGAAAAGGTGGAGGGGGGCGGGAGTGGGGAGGAGGGGGTCCCTGGGGGAAAAATATGGAACATGTGTAATACATTTTACATCCAACAATAAAGATTCGGAAAAAAAAAAAAAAGAATGTTATTTAGAATCTGCTAAAAGATGAAATGGTTGCATGTTGGTAATGAAAAATGAAGGGTAGAAAGGTTGGGAACTACTTTGTAAAAATAATCTTTTAGAATTGTTTGCTTCTGTATACTATGCATATATGACTTTTTGATAAAAATGAAAAAATGTTAAAATGTGTCCATTTAAATATGTTACAAAATAAGATACTCACATTTAAATGTAAAAAATTAAGTTAAAATTTCTTACTCCACTACCTAGAGAGATAGCATTGCTAACCTAATTTTTTTCTAGCTGATTGTAAGATTTTTGTCTTTAGTATTGTGAAATTTCATTATTACATATATAATTGTATATATCTTTTTATCCTGTGTGAGATTTTTAGAGTTTGATTCTGTAGATATTTTTCATTGATTCTGGAAAATTCATCCATTATCTATTCAAATATGGGCCTGGCCCTAATCTCTTTCACTTCTCTGGGACTCCAGTTAAGTATATGTTAGAACTTCTGAATTTTCATTATCTAACACTCTTTTGTATTTTCCATCTTCGTTGTCTTTCTGTGCTGCAATCTGGATTGTTTCATCTTCTAGT